TCAAAATTATTGCTGGCTTCAACGGGCCGTTAAACTCCAGTTAATCGGATTTGGAGTAGGAGGGACTTGATTAGAGAAGTTACGCGTTTAAGGATTTTAGTGGACTGATTAAAAATCCGAGGACTTGATTGGAAAAATTGCATAAGTTCAACTTTAACTTTTGTCTCAATTTTACCTTTGTTTCATAAAAAACCTTTAATTTTAGGTCAAGTCTGGAATTTTCTTTAAGAGGAGAAGAGTTGTGACATCCAGAATTTTCTATGTTTGATAATAATATTTAGAACGATTTTCTGTGACGTAGTCACCTAGAGTCCAATTCGTTAGAATTAAATCGATGAGATGTTGACGTGTACGTTGGTGGTGTAATGTGACGGGGATTGATTTACTGCTATGTTAGCTATAGACGTGGATGGATAAACTTTAAATTTCCTATTTGAGAATTTTTAAATTTAAATTTACTGAATTGAAATTTTCTTGGCATTCAGAATTGTTCACAAATAATTTTAGTAGATTCAAAATATTTTTCGGATTTATCAAAGTTTAAAACGAACACCAGTTTTTTTTCCTTTTTACGTATCGATTTATTAGATATTTTCGATAACTTAACATAACATCTGCGTTGGAAACTATAGAGCCGAGCCAATTATCTCTTTTATTTGCGCCACCTCTCTTCATTTTTCCACCGATCATTTTTAACCACGTACTCTTGATGACATTCTTTATGCATTACATCGTCTATGTTAACCTCAGCCCATAAATGCTTTGTTGACTCACCCCTCTTTGCTTAGCCGAGAAGGAGCTATTTTCATTTGGATAAAAGTATCTCCTTGAAGTTCATCTTATCATACCACCTGTACACCTTAACTACTCACTTAGGGCCACCTAAAGCATTTCTTTTGGAACACACATTCTTCTACCTCTTAGACCTAATTAATGATTTAACCCAAGGACATTTATTTCTTAACCTTAAGCTTCTCATTCTTATAACCTTTATCTTGGCCGTGTGTGTTGACCTTGGAGAGTTTTCACCTTCCCAAAAATAAAAGCCTCCTCCTCATCGTTTATTTCCATTTACCAACTTCCTTTTCCTACTTTCATTTTCAAGTCTTGAGAACAAAAGCAAAGGATCCACACTTGTGATATTATAACTTCTATCTCAATCCTTTGGATATTGACAAGGTGATCAAAGCTTTAAGTTTTCAAGTCCTTATTCGAGGTAAGTGAAACTCTAGGGACTAAGTTAGGTCGATCTACTTGGTGCTATTAACTTGGTTGTTTGATGGCTCTTAGTTTTAGTTCGATCTTTGACGTTGTGTGAGAAAGTTTCGATGATTTCATGTTGATTTGTCATGTTCGTTTGACTTAAACCGACTTCCCAAAAGACGTGGTTGTATATTGGATGAAAAAAAGGTAAAGACATGGAATTTGGACTTGAGAATGACATTCACGAAAATCTAACTAAGTGTTGGCCGACTAAATTGTTGTCAATTCATCAACTTTTATCGAGATACCAATTTCTTTTTTTTTTAAGTTGTTGATTTTCTAACTATTGTAAAATTTACCTTTCAGTTCATTATTTCATCGATTTTGATAATCTCACCGATTTTAAATATTTTACCGATTTCTCATGCCAAATCATTTTCCTGACCAATTTGTCGATATTAACGAATTGGCTCATCATTGGGGTACCGTTTTCAATGGTCGTTCCCAAAGTGGTCGATTTTTGAATACTCAATTCAAGTTGTTGATTTTTAACTTGTATTTTTCTAACGATAATACTAAGTTATCAATTTACTAACTAAGTGTTGTCAATATTCACATAGTCAATTCATTGAGTCGTGGACATTCCTGTTGTGATTGCTTGGGTATCATTATTACTCATGTAAGTAATGCATGGAAAAGACGTACCGATTGTATTTCGGTAATAATTTGCATAAGATGATGTTGTGTACTAAAAATTAATTTTGAGAATGGCCGTGCAAGAATTAATAATAAATAAGTGTTGAATTCATTGTTAAGGTAAGGAAGATCATGAGACTTTGGTGTTATTATGTGCACTATTTCTATGTGATTAAATATGGAAAGTAATATGTTTTATAATTCCGTCGCCCATATAAAAGAGGTGACGATGCCCCAGGAGTGTTCGAGAGGAGAATTGATGAATATAATACATATCTATGAGCATATATGAAAACATATCGGCACATATGTTCATTAGGGAATTAATTGGTGATAGAGCCTCATAATCTGTTATGTCGTGCTCTTATATTTAAGTAAATGTTCTCATGCAATGCTATTATCGATTTTTATCATAAGAAAGGTGATGTACATATTGTTGCACTTGTCATACACATGATGCCTTTGTATTGTCTCGAACTGACGTTGTTGCTAGTACCAGGATCTCGTACTTTAGACTTAGAGATTTCATTTACTTGGTTTCGACTCACTCTTTTATTTTTCAGATATGTAGGATAGATCCCCATCACCACCGCTATTTGGAGCTCCCATGCATTTCGATTATGTTTATGAAGATATGCTTATACCTGGATCACCAGTAGTATATATTAAGTGTATTTCCACTTTATGGGTCGATGTAGGGCTTTTATAGTGGATTCCCCATCGATTTGTTGCGTGGTACATGCACATCGAGGGTGAACTGGTTGGACCGTTAAGAGGTTTTGATGGCCATGGTGACGAGTTAATCGGCAAAGTTATTTACCGTTAACTAGTAGCTTGACTTTTGTATAGGCAGACTTTTGGGTGTACTAGTATAGTGTTGAAGTTAGGTGCTCCTAATCCTACTCGGGTGTTAATATAAAAAGATGTATTGTAATGCTGATGTTAATATAAAAAGATGCGTATGTATTTTATTAAACTCGTATGGGATTTTTTGAATGATTTAATGTGCTTCCGCGTGCTCATAATAATTATAAGTAATAATTGGAAAAGATACATATCGCGCGTGACATTGTGGGGTGTCACATTCACCTTCCTTTTGTCATGATATGTTTGTGTATACTTTTAATTTTTATGACTTTCTAGTAAAGGCTACTTTGGAAGTAGACATGGTCACGGGCCGGTTTCAGCCCGGAACCGGCCCGTTGACCGGGCCCGGTTCCGGTTCCGATTCCAAAAAAAAAAAACTTTGATTACATTTTAAGTTCAAGCCCCATCTCTTTCTCTCTTTTTTTTTCCCAAATTTGATTACAATGTACATTTTAATTATATTTTATATTGAATAATTCATTATTTCATAGTTTGATAATTCATTATTTTTTTATTTCATAATTTATTTTTTTAATTTTCACCGGCCGGTTCCGAACCGGGCTGGAACCAGAACCTGCCCGGAACCGCCGGTTCCGGTTCCGGTTCATACATGGCCACGAACCGGAACCGCCGGTTCCGAACCGTGGTCATATTTATTTGGAAGGAGTCTATTCGAAAGGTTGGGTTCTTTGGGTCATCCAAGGCACCTTCTCAATATCAAGCACTTACGCTTTCCAACATCAACCTTTTACGAAAATCATATTCGAAATGGGCCGAATGTTGCCAGCAAAAGTTACCAAAAATGTAATTTGCCATGGCCGATTTTTGGCCCCTACTCCTTCATAAATATTTCTAATGGAAGAGAAGAAGCTGGAGATGATGGACACAGCCTTACAAACTATGTTGAGGTAGGAGTTGTCTCGATGATTTTGAGGAATCTATACGGAAATCACGAGATGAGTAAGGCGAGAGACAGAGAGACGAAGACAAACTAGGGTTTTGATATGTGTGACGGCCCAAGCCAAATGGCGGAGCGCGGGGAGAAGGGATGGCGGTGCGTCCGCGCCACTACCTCGGACGTGCGTAGGGAAGTGGGGTACCTCTTCTGTCCCATATCGCCTGGGGAGGAAGCCTTAGGCTTGCTTATAAGGCTTGAGGAGCCTTAACCTAGTACGACGCGTTTTAAATCCGTGAGGGCTCTGATCCAAAGTGGACAATATCGTGCTAAGGTGGGTCCTCGGGTCGTTACAAGTGATATCAGAGCGACTCCCGACCGCGTGTGGGGCCATAGCGAGGGCGCTGTGTCCGTAAGGGAGGGAGAGTGTGACGGCCCAAGCCAAGCGGCGGAGCACGGGGAGGAGGGATGGTGGTGCGTCCGCGCCACTACCCCGGACGTGCTCAAGGAAGTGGGGTACCTCTCCTGTCCAACATTGCCTAGGGAGGGAGCCTTAGGCTTGCTTATAAGGCTTGAGGAGCCTTAACCTAGTACGACGCGTTTTAAATCCATGAAGGTTCTAGCCCAAAGCGGACAATATCGTGCTAAGGTGGGGCCTCGGGTCGTTACAATATGAAAACATAAAACTTTAAATCTATATACGTATATAAATATATATTTGTGTGTGCATACCGGTTTGGTCCGGATTGGTGAGTGGACGGTTGCACACTTTGGAAGTAGGAACCATACCAGTACTTATCGGTTCTAGTAGATTGAAACTGGGAATCGGACTAATCACCGTGGGAACTGCCGGTTATAGGCCCGTCCAGACGGCTCCCGATTCTTTTGCACACCTATACTCACATTTTCGAAGTCAAAAATTTTGTCAAGCTCAGCGGACTAATTAACTCCAGGTACCCGGATTTGGAGCAGGAAGGACTTGATTAGAGAGGTTTTGCAAGTATAAGGATTTGATTAGACAGATTAAAAGTTTTAGATGTTGACTCTCTCAAGTTTGCCTAAAGCATCCCTCTCCAAGTCCATTTCTTTTGATTAATTTGAAATTCGACTCGACTTGACATGATACCGTATCATACGGCTTACTCTAATGCTTCACTAACTTTCTTAAAAATAAATAAGAAATGTTTATGTAATTGAATATGTGAAACCGGAGAAAGTAATAGCACGACGATGGAAAATCTGGAAAAAAATATCCCTTCTTATAAAAATAAATGACTTTATTTAAAAGGGGGTCGTGTAAATGTATTTTCCAGTTGATGGACTTGTTAAACAAACTTGATAAGGAAATTGCAAAATATTAATTGTACATATCATTAGAGCAATCGTCAATTATAGTCACTACATGTTAGCAAACAATCGATAAGTCTTGGCATCGAGAGCTATCTGCCTGACCGATGCCACTGCGCCGATGGCCACCAACATCGAGGACACGACGATGATCGTCGTGTTCACCCAGAACACGAAGCTCCTCCTAGAGGGCTTGAAGGCCACGTTATAGAAAACCATGGGCAATATGAAGTCTAGGGGGATGCACCCGAACGCGCCGAACAGCGCCATGATGTCCGCGAAGAAGGGCAGCATCGTGGCCACCATGGTCGCCACCACCACCGATAGCGACCGAGCGATCAACCTAGGCACCACATTGCGTGTCGAGAATTGGTCCATCTTTGGGTCCGCAAATTTCTTCTCAAACACTTCATTGGTTAGTTGCAAATATACCTATATATATTTCGTCAGAGACCCAAATTGACGATGAACTTAAAAGTAGTTGAAGAATTAGCTAGAAAGATGAGCAAATTCTACTTTCTTTAGGTTAATTCTTACCACAGAGACTGCTGATACTTGGAGGAGGCAGAAAATGTTGGTCATCAAGAGGAACCAAGTGGGTAGGAGTGGCTTGGTCTTGCCCATGAAATTGGTCAGAATCGTTCCTTTGGACTGATTCCCAAAGGCCCAATACCCAGAGATTCCAACACTGAAGTATGTGGTCACTATGACCGAGTAACATACACACAGGCCTTTGAACATCTTGCCCTTCACCGGTGGAGCTAGAGTTGCCTAAAACCATAGTAAATTTTACATTATGGATCAATTAAGGTAAAGTCAAAATCGAAAAGGCAAATTCAAAAAAATTATATTGAGCCGCGCTCTAGAAGACCTGGATCTCAGGGATAATTCCACTTGCGTAAGTGGTGGCGATGATGGAAATCCCATTGAAGGCGCCTAAAAGGCGGTCTGCTCGGCTACCGACCAAGGAGTAGTCCTTTGGCGGTGCATTTGCCGAGTCTCCTAGGCGGTGTCAAAATAGTTGCATAATGGTCAACCTCGATTTTTATCTTAAGCGTTATAAATCATGATATGACATAACTATAAATTCGACGTTTATCGACATGAGTTCTTACCGATGTCAATGGAGCCGCCCAAGGCGCAAACGCTGTAAGCGAGGCAGAGGACGAGAGAGACGAGATTGATGTGCCTGAGGGAGTGGAAGGAGGGGACTTGTGCTAAGAACAGAGTTAGGCCACCAAACATGGTGATGAATTGGTAGAGCTGCATTTTCCCATCTGGCTTATAGAGCAAGTATATGAACTGCACAATCAAGCATAACAAAGAAAAGAAAAACTCGAATAAAATTAATTGAGAGAAGCCACATTAAAAAAAAATCGAATTGTTTGATTAGTAAATACAAGTGTATTATTAGAATCGATTTTTCATGTTAATTTGGAGGGAAAAGTTACTGACCTTGAGACTCTGTCCACCCAAAAGAGTGCAGGCAACGACAGCACCATAGCATATAGCAAACTGTAGAGGTCCCACAAAATACTTTCCCCATGCGGGTCCTGTTAAGTAACAAGCCGTGACATATAAGTTGAGTTGGGAATCACCAATTCATACAAGAATTTAGTCGTACAATAAGATTAATTAGTAACCAAATCCATAGATTAATTAATCAGGGGAAGTAACCTAGGATGTCGTGAGCCATGTCACGGAATCGGAGCTGGCGCTGACCGAGATGGGCTTGTTGCTCCAGGACGAGCGAGAGGAGGTTGTAAGAGTAAAATGTGACCACGGCCCCAAAAGTTAGGCACGCGATCCCGGCCACCCAACCCAACAGGCTCATCGCAAAGGGTAGGCTCAACAACACCGGCGCCACTATGGACGTCGTCAGGTGGTACCCGCAGTGCCACCACGACCCTGTCAATATGATCCCAAACCCATTATTTCAATGATACATACTCTTTTTGAATTCAAAACGACACGCATCGGGTATCTGAAACGGTTTGTGCACATTGACATGTACAGATCAGGCGCAAAAGAAAGATCGCTCCCATATTCTCTTCCTTCCTTTTTTCCCCTTTCGCGACTATTATATTGGCCTCTTGATTAGGACCACAGTTTGAAAAATCAAGAGATAGATCATGCAAAATTGTACAGACCTGACCGGACAACATGTTATACCATGAATTAGAAAATGCTCATATGAAAAATCACACTGCTGATGAAAGAAAATCATGTACTATATCAGTTGCCTGATCAAGCAATGGACCGCTTCGCGAGCTCGTTCTAAGCTCAACTCCAATAATATTCGAGAGCGTAACAAGCAGCTTCGGATTCATTTGCTTTCGCTAAGACAGGGTCGTGCATCCCTAGAAAGAGAGAGAGAGAGAGACTGTGTTACAAGCTCGTCCACAGAAAGGGACGAGTAGCACTGACCTCGTGATTTGAGGACGAAGAGAGCTCCGGCGTCCAAGTCTTTCGGGTTCGGGCGGCCGGCGAAGCCGTCGCCTTTCTGATCACCCAGCGGGATGGAGACGTCCATGGAGCTTGGAACCACCGTTGTCCCCATTCTCTCTCTCTCTCTCACACTCACACACACACACAGAACTCTTACATAAATACCCAGAAGAACATCATAAACACCCAGGTTTCCTTCGAAGAACACGGCACATCATATCATCAGAACACAAAAAGAGTGGAAAAAAGGGAAAGAACGAGCAGAGGAACGATGATGATGGGTAGAAATGAGTGAAGAAGAAAAGCACGAGGACGGGATAATGATGGTGGCATTATCATATGGGTGGCTCTGGTCAACCGGTCGCCACCGACTGCTCCAGATTCAAATAATTCAACACACTCACGGGTAATCCCAAATGTTAGAAACCATGGAAGAGCGACTCCACGACAAAGTTTCCACGGTGTTAAAAAGTGGATTCCACCGCTTTCCATGGGGGTCGGTCGTCGCCATCAACCGAAAACTTGTCGTCATCTCTTGCGTTGGAGATCATGGACCGGCTCGGTCCCTAGCTAAAAGTGCTGCGTGCGAGCCAGTAGAGGGAGGATAGTGAATTTCGAAATCGAACTTAGACTATTCTCGCTCGGATGCGGCAATCGCTCCGTCCCGTAAGAGTCGAAGGACCCTGATTTCGAGAGTGGCCACGAAAATGTGAAAGTACAATAATCTCATACTCGAGCCCCGAGCTCGACCAAGCCGCAAGTTAATTTGGGTCGGGTTTGCTTCAACTTAAAAAAAAAAAAAAGAAAAAAAAAATACCAGTTTTGCTGGTCGTACGAGAAAATCACGTGAATTCATATGCGACAAATATTTATATTTCGTGAAAGGTTCTTTTATTTTTACATTTATCCGGTGAAGGTTTTATGTGTTAAATAATCAAATACAAAAGGTGAAAGTCAAATGTCGTTGCCGTGGGACGTCTTCCACTTCCAGGCAGCAACGGATAGTGACTTCTATCAGATCGTGCTGAATTCAGCCTCGTGCTCTTCTAGAAAAAAAGATGAGATAGGTAATGATGGGGCGCTTGGTGCATCAAGCTTGTAACTCGGGGAGGCTGCTTTTGTTTCTCTTTTTTATTTCGAATTCGATGCCAATTTAGATCCTCCAAAGTGGGAGATGATTTTTTTATGTATTGGTCACGTTAGCAACATCAGTTGCCATGTTAGTCCATTTCGCCTTAAATATGATCGGTGGTCATAATTGTCCCTTAAGTAAGAGTTTGCTCTTTCTTCGAGACATTTGAAAAGTGAGGCTAATCTTGTTCCGGAGGCATTAATATGTGATTTTTATTGGGATCGGGCCACCGAGAATATAACATCATCAGATGATCCGATACTTGTGAATTCAGTTCACATCAACCATTTGATGAGATGTGCCCTAATTTGACGGTGCCCGGCACAAGCAGTGAAAAGCGGCGAGTGGCGAAGTGCGAACTCGTGATCCCCGAAAGAAAGGTGACGTTTCAAATCATTTGGCCAACTCCTTAGGTCGATATGTATTCACCGGTCCGACCCGAGCGGCAAGTGAGCCTCTGAAAGAAGATCGATCAGAATGTTTGGATTTTGGTCGAACCGTTCAACTACCCACCTGTCGTCCTGTATGCACGGTCAATGATGCTCCATAGATTTTCCCTTTCGTTTTCCATACATCCCACGTGATTTTGACCGGAAATGCATTGTTTATCCACGTCTGGTGCATACCAAACGCTTCGTTTATGCGACCGGTGGCTTGTGCTTTCTCATCCGCTTCGTATATTCCAATGTATTTTCTCAACGAGGATTCCTTTGACTATCTTCTTCTTTCTTTTCTGATGTCATTTGGGATTTTGACTTGAATTCTTCTTTGGTTTTGTCGATCTCGATACGAAATCATCCCTCTGTGCCGGCAGGTGAGTCTCGGATTTTATTTGTGGTTTTTTATGCATCTAGTTTGATTCTAGACAACGACGCCAAATTTGCTTCCTCCATCGATGCTTTCTTTGCATTGGTGAAAATTGCATCTTTGGGTTTGGCCGATTCCTCTATTAAATCTCCAAGACCAATGATACAGATCTGACTAGCCCGAGTGAGATATATTAGTTTTGGACGGATCCAGACGATTCTATTCTACCATATATAATGCCAGCATCGCATACCGCGTCGTCGATTAATACGCCGCGTGACTACCGATCACGATTTGCCATCTTCTGCTCGACTACCCGCTAGCTCCGTTCGGTTTTTTTATTTTTAGTTTTGAGTGTTGACTCCACTATTTGTTAAAACAAAAATTTGATCAGTATATTGCATCGGTAGACCATATAGTGAGGTTTAGAGGTGTGTAGAGCATGAACTTATGATAATTTAAACTTCGAATTACATAAAAAACTTTTTCAATTCTATCTCCTTATAAACTTAAGAGTCCACTTTTAATTTCCGAGCTCATGCATCTGTTTAATTTTTTATAAATAAATAACATAGCTTTTCTTAATAATAGACCTGTCAAACGGGTGGATTGGGTCGAAACTGGTCTAATCAAAATTGACTTATTTACACACAAGCTTCCCACATAGAAAATCTTGTCGGATTCGACAGGCCATTAAACTCCCGTTAATCGGATTTGGCATGGGAGGGGCTCGATTTTAGAGAAGTTATGCCGGTTTAAGGAATTTAGTTAGACAGATTAAAAGTGCGGGGACTTGATTGGAAAAAATCGCATAAGTTCATGGACCCAAAGTGGGAATTTTACCCACATTACAACTTGGACCGAATGGGCCTCCTCCGCCGTTCCATCCGTAGGCCCAATTAACCGAAAACAAAAATTCAACACAAAGCCCAGCCCAACTTCAATCGAGGGCTCGGGTAGCGAATTGACGGTATTGCCCTCGAGATCACGTGAAAATTCCCCAAACCGCCCAGCCTCCGCCCTCCTCGTTACGAAGGAGGCACCACCTATAAAAAAATGCCGCCGACTTCGCACGCAGCGGTCGCCAGCCCTTCTCCCTCTCGCTCGTCGCGAACTTGGAGGTCTGCGTTGCAAATGGCGAAAGGCGACGACGCGGTCAAGAGGAAGAAGAACAGGTCGAACAGGAAGAAGCTCCAGAAGAAGCAGGACTCCTCGACCGTCTCCGCCCGCGTCGCCGCCATCATCGCCGCCAAGAAGCGGCGCAAGTCCGGCAAGCGCCGCATCTGCCAGGTAAAGCTCGGTTTCCGGCGATCCCGCCGATGCTCGTCCCCGTGTTTATCTGCTCGGCGGAATGCTTCGGAAAACCGGGAGGACGCCCCCGGGGGGGAGCCTGGCTTTCCGAGCGCGTGAACTTGTTTCCTGGACATGTCGTTTCTCATTTTTTTTTTTATGGGAGCGAGCTTTGTTGCTTAAGGATTCGATGCGAGTGATGATATTGCGGCGAATGGATGACCGCGCTCGAGTTGGTTTCGCTGTGGAAATTGTGAATTTAGTAGTGTCCAGGAGAGAGCTAGTGAATGATTCTAAAGGGTGTTGATGAGTTCGATTCGATTCGGTTTTTCCGCGGGAAATTTGGAGAGTTACTCAAATGTCTAGATTTCTGAGGTGTCTGGGCTCTTCTAGCTGCAGTCGAGAAGGCAGTACGCGACATGTTGGGCGCTTTTACAAATTTTCAGTTTTGTTTCTACTGTCATGTGCTCAATTTGCTTTGAGGCTCGAGAAAAAATATCATCTTCCGATTGATGATTTGATCTCAGTTATCGAGCTCTTTCCCACCAATGCGTATTGACTTCGGAGTCATGTATCCTTTGTTTTAATAAAACTCAGTAAGCCACGAGGAATATGAAAAAAAATGTTAGCGCTTTTCGTTTAAATTCACACGACTGAGCGATTTTTTCTTTCATAATGTTGCAGTCGTATGTGCCTTTTGTTGTGCTGGTAATGTTAATTGATTCCTGAACTGGGAATTCGTTTTGCTGTGCCATCACGGTGAGACAGGGTATGTGTTTCAGTCTTCCTACTCCAGATGATCCATACAATGAGCGACATGGCAAGGACGCTTTGACTAAAAATATCAAAAATGGGAAGAGCGCTAAATCAAGGAAAGGAGCTTTGGAAAGGAATGATAATGGGTCTGATCCTGTACCGAATATAGGAAATAACGCAGAACGTCCCGAGAACGAGCAGGAGAAAGACCTAACTTCTAACGGTAAGCCTATGAAAAGATGTAACACAGCCAGTAAGGAGATTAAGAAGAGCGATTGTCAAGGTCAACAAGGTCATGCTTGGGAGAACTCATGTTCCTCTAAGTTTCTTACGTTGTGCCTGAAGACATTGGAGGATGCGTTGTGGCATGAAAATGCTCAGAATGGTGACATGACCAACCCTTTGTTTGTTAATGCCTGGGGAATCGAATTCTGGAAACTTTATGCCTCTGGCAAAGATATTCTAGAGGCAAGTGGTGTTTGTTCTTCAGCTGAACAAATTGCCTGGATTGTGTCCATTGCCGCTGATTCTTTTGCAAGGAAGGAGAAAGAAGGTCTATCCTTAACCAGCCCTTTCCTTTTATATCTTGTGCCAACAGCTGAGAAAGCTGCTGAGGTTAGTGTTTTTTCTTTCATTTACTTCTGCTCAAGTTTTATTTACTTTCTTTTCCTTGCTTGAAACGACAACAGACAAGCTAATGTTTTTAACTGTCTCTTCGCAATCTTTCATGAAATTAGGCTGGAATTGCAGCTATGTTTTTCTCGAATGGTCATATGAAATTAGGCTCGAATGGTGTAATCTTCTTATGTTCTGTGATTATACTTCACTGATTAATTGTCAGAAAATTAGAAGCTGCAGGTTACACCAATTCTCATTTCCTGATGTTGAATATTCCTTCATGGTTAGGTGCGTGCTATTTGCAAGCCCTTGAAGGCTCTTGGTATACATACCGTGAGTATACATTCCGGTGCCTCTATAGATCATCAAATTCACGGGTACTTTTTTCCCTTAACATAGTCTCGAAATTTCTAGGCCTATTTGAAAGTTATGCTGTATCACAAAATCCAATGTGATGTATGAAATTGAAGGTCAATATACATGTGTTGTGAAGAAGAGTTCTGTTCTTCCATTGCACTATTTAAAATTACTTTTTTTAACAGGTTGACAAGCTGTGAGCCTGAGTTTCTTGCGTCGACACCTGAGAGACTTTTGGAGCTTATTACCTTGAAGGCCATTGACGTATCTCAAACGTCCATGCTGGTACAAAGTCCACTTCTATCATTCCCTACCCCCAAACCAACCCCCAAATAAAAGAGGAACGAAATCTTGCTCTTGGTGGTTCCTCTCATAAAAGCTTTTCTGTTGCATGTTGTGAGGAACTTTCTGATCTTCTCGGTTATTATGCATACTTCACACAAGTTTTCGCTGCTTGATCTCTGGTATATGTGTATTTGTTGTTGCTTCCTCTTCACGGAAGTTGAATATATGCTTGTTGTCATTTAACCACAAGTTGCCTTAATTTTCTTGTTACTTTTTTTTTTTTTTTAAATTACTCTCTTCCCTCTTGAGCAGGTTGTTGACGGAGTCAGAACTCGTTCTGAAGGCGCTTATCTTGATATGATCAAATCTGTGAGACAATTTATTTCTGGAAATCCTCGTACAGTGGTTTTCAATGATTGCCTTAGTTGTCCGTGCACTGCAACTTTGCAAAATCTTCTGAATGGACCTATTGAAAGATTGTCTCTTAATGATTCCATCACCAGTCTTAGTTCATGCGCCGTCCAGTGTGCAAACGTCTGCACCTCGGAAGAAGAAAAGCTATTAAAGGTTTGTGCAGCTTAATGTTCTAACATCTTTTGCATGAGATGCTGCTTTTCTCTAGGACTGGTGAAGTGATTGTTTTAGGAAGTCATACTGATGTGTTGTGTACATTTGATATATGCCAATGATAATGGTGCATTTTACGGTATACCTTTTCAACTGCAGTTACTATTGTAGAAGAGTGCTACGCCTAAAGGTGGAGTGTTGAAAATAATGATAGCCTGTTTATGGGTAGTTCTCAAAGTTGGAGTTGATCACTTTACTAGGAAAAGGAAGACGGGAAGAAGAGAGGAATTTCAAGATCAAAGTTTGAGATCCTTTGAAACATTTTTGTACTGATTTATTTGCTCGAGTTTCCATATGATGGCAAAATATTGGCTACTAAATGCCATCCGTGTTGTCTTTCCTTTTTCAGTTTGTTCGGATGAATACAAGCCTTTGGCTATCTATAGAAGGAAATGCAAAGCTTTTGCTTTCGCGGTCTTCATCTAGAAACGGGCTAGGTTATCTGAGTTTTCTTCACTAATCCATTATGTCAGCACCTTTACCTTGAGTTTCAGCAACCACATCTCCTCTCCCTCCCTTGCCCCCTCCCTCACTCCTTAGCTAGAGGAAAAGAAATTGTAGAGGCAATGTTAAGGTATTCGATGACTATGAAGCTGGGTTTGTGGAGAAATGCCTGCACTCAAGTCCTGACTAATGACAAATATGATTTCAGTTTCCAGGATGACGTGTCGTTTTGTTGTTTGAAAGATGCTAGAATGGAAATATGATATTTAGATTCGGGTCTATTGTCTAGTGAAAATTGCATTCTCCATGGTACTAAACCTGAGTGGCAAGCACTATGTGTAGAGATTCCAATTGTCGGATCATGCTTGTGGCAGTAAACCTAGAAATCAGCTTAGAAAAGTATTGTACGCTGTTGGGAATGATAACGAGCTTGAAAAATTAGTTGGAGCACTTGAAGTGAAAGGTTATTTGATCTTGAGCCATCTAATCTGTGTACCATCAGATTCTGAAGAAAGGTAAGTTCACACGCCCTTGGGCTAATTGCCCTTGAGTGCATGCTTTCTATGGCATGGGGGCTTTCCATCGTGCAGATGGAGACTAATGATTTCCGTGCTAACAACTGACTATTGTGTAAACAAATGAAGCCTGGTCTTTAACTAAACTCAAATTTTCGTTTAAGTAATCTTTCCTGTCTATTTATGTATGGATTCTTTTTAGAGTTTTATGGATCTTTTCTTAGTTTGGCTCTATGTGAATTCTGGCAGCAAGAGGAAGCCCGAAAGTTCTGTTGTCTCAATCGAGCAACTCGACTTCCTCATGGAAGAAAATCCTGACTCGCGGAACCATTGATCAAAATGCTCAAGCGGTGCCATCAAGTGGTACCTGAAACCTTGAGAGACTTGGCTCTTTTGTCTTCGAGAATGGATGAGTAGAATCAGTTCCAGCCTTCATTCAAACCTTCATATACTGTCATATCTTGATTTTCATTTGCAGCTTGATGCATCGAGAAGCACATCATATTACTTTTGGGGAGGGGTCGGGTTCATGCAAGGGACATCATTAAAACTGTAAATTTTACGGCCAATTCTGTAAGACTTTCACGTTTTGTTATTTGCCGAAGCGCGTTTTTTTAATTATAATATGATAGCAAGTTGGCGAAATGTGTTCTTGCAGGAATTACTTATCCTTGAATGCTGGTATGTATCGTTTGAATCGGTTCGGCTTTTCTGTTAGCACGCGCATCGGACGAGTGAAAAGAGAAAAAAAGAGTGAAACAAGCGTAACAATAACACTGAGTTGTGCCAGTAATTGAGAAGTGAATCTCACGAATGAATACGATTTAATAAAAGGAGCCAGATAGTTTCGTGAAGTGCCCAAAAAGTCAACATGAACGATAAATCTTAGCCCTTAATACCCTTGAAGCGAACCTTAAAAAGACTATATTGGTCGCGTACATGGTGTGACCGGATATAATCAAAATCCCCTCATTCTTTCTCCGTTGTGGATGGATGGGGAAGACGCATCTCGCCCGTTCCAAACAGCCTACTGTTAAACATGTAAATTTCAACTTTGAGTAAGCATTTTAGTCCGCGGTGTGGCGTCGTAGTTGGATGTGCACACATCTTTTCAATCCAGCTTGGCTTGGAATGTTTTAATTATTGGTAATCAATTATAGGTCGGACCGTCAACAACCTCCAATACGAGGTCGGCAGTCGTGAGGAGGAGGAAAGAGGTAGGGATCTTAGGCTGTGTTCGTTTACGGAAAAATATTTTTCCGGAAAATATTTTCCGCATTTTCCGGTGTTCGGGGGCGGAAAATATTTTCCGTGGGAAAACATTTTCCTTCCCCACCTCCAAATCCTTCGTTGTTTTGAGGAAAATGATTTCCTCTTTTCACAAAGAGGAAATCATTTTCCCCCAAATTGAAGGCAAAATTGCCCATGGGAGGGAAAATATTTTCCCTGGGAGAGGAAGTTGATCGCCGGTCACCGCCGTTGGCCGCCGGTCGCCGGCCCTGCCTCGCCCGTCGCCCGCCGCCGCCTGCGCCGCCGCCCCCGCCGCCGTCGCCGGGCGCCGCGCGCTGCCGCCGCCGCCGCCGCCGCCGCCGCCTATCGCCGATGAAAAATATTTTCCGAAACTTTTTCATATTGGTCACCGAACACCGGAAAATTATGTTCCGGGAAAACATTTTTCAGGAAAATGACTTCCGGGAGAATATTTTCCAAAAGGAGAATATTTTCCGCCAAACGAACGGAGCCTAAGAGTTAGGGTTTTATTATGGAAGACGGGAATGATGAGGACAATTTGGGATGGAAAATGACAATTTCATAATTAGTGGACAAGGATCATAGGTGGAGTATGCCCGTTGAAATCTAGTAAGAAGACACAAAATTTGGAATGTAGATTTTCAAAAGAGAGAAGGAAATTGATATAAGATATAAAAGTGAGGATGATCATTGATATTTTTCTTTTTAATAAATTTATAACCCAAGACTCCAATTGTATTTAGCTGGCTATTTGGAGGAGAACTAGCACAGTAACCCACCACTACAATCCCCACTTAAATACAGAGCTCAAGGATAGAGATCGCAACCATTGAGCCCTAAGCCTAAATCATGGAAATTCCCTTGCCACTGGGATAATCCCATCTGTGGTGGGTAACTTTACATTCATTCTCAACATAAGCAAAGTATCCATGTACCTCATAATTACAAGATTTGAATCTGTTCACCATGTAAATAACATTTCCCCAAGTGACTCATTCCCATATGAAATGCAACATGCAGAAAGCTACTATGTTTCCACCTACCTTATTATTCAGGGGTTAGTCGGACGGGATACATGTAGTTCTTATTCCTTTTTTAGACACTGAATATAGATTCTGACCACAGCAAATGCCTCTTGACTCCCAAGATTGAACTATCATCAACTCTTCTTTTGCCCAACACTTCAATGGATCAAAGTTCAAGGCAAATGATTTGGGCTAGTTAATTAAGTGCTTCCATATCAGCCCTCAACTCAAGTGAGTTCATGACCCTAGGATCGAGTTCATGTATATGATGACTGTTGTGCTAACTAGCTAGCTTGCCGCTTAGTTCCCAATGCCAGCAATTAGGGAGTTAATTATGCTCTCTAAGGGTCTGTTTAGTAACGTTTCTGTTCCTAAAAACAATTTCCGTTCAGAAATAGTTTTTTCTATTTCTTTTCTCTATACGAGTTTCTGAGCAAAAAAATGTGTTTTGTAACTGTACAAAATTTCTATTCCCAGAGTAAAAAAAGAACAGAAATGTGTTTGGTAGGACACTAAAAATTTCTACTCCCAATTTTTTCATTTAATTATAAAATTGTTAGTGGAGACTTAACAATTCATGTTTGAATAAAATTAGACTATAAATATAATAAGAATATATTATGATACATAATTAAATGACCTTAATACAATCATAAAGAAAATTACTCCTTATAGACAAGGAAAATACCGAGTGGTGGTCAAGGAAATTGCAACTTATGGGACTTAACAATTCATGTTTGGATAAACTTGGATTAGAAATAGAATAATAATATATTATGATATAGAATTGGATGACCTTAATACAATCATAAAGAAAATTACTTCTTATAGAAAAATCAAATATCGAGTGGTGGTCAAGGAAATTGTAGTTTAGGATGTAGGATTTTAGGATTTGGGGTTAGGGGTTAGGGTTTTAGGATTTCGATTTTGAGGTTTAGGGTTTGGGGTTTTAGATTTTGGATTTTATAATTTAGGGTTTGGGGTTTAGGTTTTAGAGTTTTGGGTTTGGGGTTTTAGGTTTAGCGTTTCGGGATTGGGTTTAGGGTTTGGGTTTAGGGTTTTAGGGATTCGGGTTTTGTGTATTGGGATTTAGGGTATAGGGTTTAGGATTCGGGGTTTTGTGGTTTAACGTTTTAGGATTTACGGTTTGGAATTATGATTTTAGGGTTTAGGTTTTAGGGTTTCGGGTTTGGTGTTTTGGGGTTTAGGATTTGGTGTTTCGGGTTTTGAGTTTGGGATTTTAGGGTTTGGGTTTAGGATTTGGGGTTTAGAAGGTTTAGGGTTTTAGGATTGGGTTTTGGGGTTTGGGTTTTTAGAGTTTAGGGCTTTGGGTTTTTCATTTTAGTGTTATGATTTGAGGGTTTGGGTATTGAGATTTAAGGTTTTGGGGTTTAGGATTTGAGGGTTAAAGTTTAGGATTGTAGGGTTTAGGGCTTTAGGGTTTAGGATTTGGGGTTTTAGGGTTTAGTATGAGAATATATTGTGAAAGAGGGAGAGTTGATCTTGTTTCTTTATTATTTCTTTTTTTGTTTCAGAAACAGAAAAGTAAATTTTTTTTACTTATTTCTGTTCCAAATCTATTCCCTAGTTACTTTTCTGCTCTAGGGAACAAAAAAAACTAACTGACGTTACTAAACGGATTTCTGTTCTTTTTCTATTTCGGGAAACAAAAGAACAGAAATACAGATAAATAGAAACGTTACTAAACAGACCCTAAATTGCCCTATACACAAAAACTCAAGAGTAGACTTTGATCATAGATTTGATGAATCCTGAAGTTTGTCCGACCTAAAGTGTAATCGGGCGGGTTCGGATCCATGTCCCCTTACCTTTTGGCGTGGTCGAAAAATTTCTAAGTCGCGATTGGACTTAGGTAACAAGTTAGGCCTTACCCTTTTCAGCCTTTGTCCATTTGATCAGATTTATTGGAAAGGACGCAACACCCCTTGCGCAACGCGTTGACGATATCATTAGCTATGCTACAAACTACACTCCTCAAAGCCTTCATGCAGCAAGATATGAGCTCGTTTGAGATGCATGAATGAACTCTTTTTCAGCATAAAGAGAGTTGAAAGAAATATCAGCAATGTGCGCTCATTTTGCTCGAATATCAACAACAATAATGCAGAACCAATGACCATACAAGGGCTATTCGCCTACAGTTCCAACCTTCGATCGGCTAGTGATGATGATAATTCGAGTGCCTCACAAGACCGAAAGAGACGGGCAAACTAGCTTGAGTGTTAGTTCTGCACTTCAATAAAGTATTGACCAAATGGAGTCACACCACAAGGGGCTATTCATTAAGGGAAAACAAGGCGTTAACGTCTCCGAACTCTCGCTTTATTTTTTCAAGGAAGCAGATTCCTTGGTGAGAAAGGAAAAAGAAGAAAATTGCTGGCTTTGTCTGACAGCAATCTCCTCTCTTTCGGATCCACAGTCTCTGTCTACATTAACTCCATTCTTCTCTCAGCTCTGAGGAGTTCTTATTTATGTATGCTCCCTCCATTTCTCTCCATAGCTTCAGGTAACATATATATATATATATATATATATATATATATATATATATATATAGAGAGAGAGAGAGAGAGAGAGAGAGAGAGAGAGAGAGAGAGGAAGAAACACTCTCTAATTTGGGTGATGCCAAAAGCCCATTGACATCATCCAATACCTCTCCTCTCTCTGGATCTTAAGTTGGGTTTTTGCTCTAGTGAGTGTTGTTGCGATCAGAGCTCGCGTGGGTCTCAACCTTTTATTTTTTTGGCAATCTTGTGTTATCATGCAAAATTCACGTACACTTTTTCTATAAGGGCTTGCATTTGCTTTCTTTGCCTTTTGTTCTCGCTTATTCCACTCACTCTACTAGTCCAGCTTTTGCCCATTTGTCCAAACGTAACTCAGAAGCAAAAATCACTCCAACTTCACCACCACAAAGCCAAAAAAAGGAGGACAAAATCGAAAAACAGCAACGTTTTGGGGTATAGAATCCAGCACTTTATTATATAAGTGCTGACATACTTCACCATTCTCTTTGTCCATCAAATTGTATCCCGCTTCTTCGTGCTCTGTCCCCCGAGCAGCTTATATATATTGCGATGGACCGCCTCTCATCGACGCCGATATTTTCGGTCCCGGACAACATCTTGGGCCGAATCAGGCTGGTCTGGCAACAGACTAGAGAACCTCTGATAGTTCCATTGCTGAAGGTCTTGGTGGCGGTGTGCTTGGTGATGTCCACAATGCTGTTTGTGGAGAGGGTTTACATGGGGATCGTTATCTTCTTCATCAAGCTGCTTCGGCGGCGACCCGAGAAGCAGTACAAGTGGGAGGCGATGGGGGACGACATCGAGGCTGGGAGCTCAGCTTATCCCATGGTGCTAGTGCAAATCCCCATGTACAACGAGAAAGAGGTATACGACAAATTCCTTTTCTTTGGATCTCTTTATTTACTTCTTGTAAAGATTCAACCTTTCCTCATTAGTCTTCTGATGTGTGTTAATAAAGAGACGTTCTTTTTCATGCAAATTTAAGGCGTTGAAGCCTTTTCGCTACTTTCCAATCTCTCCATGCATACACGGTTAATGCTTTTCTGCAAAAATTAATTAAGGGCATGTAGAGGTTATTAGTGTCTAATTTAAATGGTTTTCTTTAATGATTAATAGTTGGTTTTCTTGGCAGGTTTACCAGCTATCCATTGGAGCTGCATGCGGGCTTTCGTGGCCGGGTGATCGGATCATAATACAAGTTCTTGACGATTCGACGGACCCGGCTATTAAGGTTCTGCTAGGCTAATAGGCAACTCATTCTTGTGTCAACTTCTGTTCTTGTTTTCTTTGGGTCTATTCGAGCATGATGTTGACCAGTTATACTACATGAACGTTCACAAGAAGGCTTAAGAGACTCGACAAAACACGTGTCATTCATATGGCCCTGGTCCTTCCTTCTGATGGATTCCACATTTACCTCAAAATTGCTCTTTCTAGCTCTAATTAGCAGTCAAGTCCCTATCCCCAAGCATTGGCCTGGTAAAAAAAGAGTCATATTGTTACAAGTGAATATGCTTAATTTTCCACGGTTCAAAGAGATGAAAGATCATTGAGTTTCTTTCCCCTGTTGATCCTGCATGGTCCCCATAAAGTTGTTCTGAATTAGATCATGAAAAAACTATTGTTGATCTACTTCGCCAAAAGCAAAATTACCCATTTCCCGTTTCATTGACATGTAAATTTTGTTTTTCGCCTTTTTGGTTGAACTGAATATTGTGCAGGAGCTAAAGAAACTAGAGTGCCAAAGATGGGCGAGCAAAGGCATCAACATAAAGTATGAGATTCGAGACAACAGGAAAGGTTACAAAGCCGGGGCACTCAGAGAAGGCATGAAGCACGGCTATGTCAAGCAATGCGACTATGTAGCCATCTTCGATGCCGATTTCCAACCCGAGCCTGATTTTCTGTGCCGGACCATACCTTTCTTAGTCCACAACCCCGAAATCGGGCTCGTCCAAGCTCGGTGGAAGTTTGGTAAGTTACACATATTCTCCTCTTTCTTGATGCCTCTTGCCCATGGATGCCTATGTATGTATATGAATGTAGTTGGTGACTTACGTAGCCATCATCACTCATTAGTAATCGAAGAAGAGATAGTTTATGTAAAAGTGACCTTTGAAGCAAATATGGTCAATAACAAGAAAAAGTAGATATTTAACACAGCATGACTGAGAAGTTGTTCATCTAGATAAAGCTTTGCAGCAGGGATAGACCAATAGTAGAGGAATTGAGAAGAATAGCCTTGAGTTAACAGATCTCTCGCCATTATGCTGCAATAAAATCGATTTTCGCCACTTCTCATTTCACTGCTTTACAGCTGACAGTGCTCTCTCTTCCTCTAAAAGAACTTTACGCTCCATAGCGACAATGGCTATTACATTACATGAATACATTTATCCAACTCTGGAACATTTGATAGTCTCGTAGGACAACATTTTTCTTGATGGTGTTGCAGTGAATTCTGATGAATGCTTAATGACGAGGATGCAAGAAATGTCACTAGACTACCATTTCACTGTGGAACAGGAAGTGGGCTCTGCAACCTACGCCTTCTTCGGCTTCAACGGTTAGTTCATCATTTTTTTGTTAGCATTATGTTACCTCTATTAGACATGTATGGCGATATTGTCGTTTCGTATCGTTGCCTAAGTTTCAAGATGTTTGACCGCGCGATTAATCCAGGGACAGCGGGTGTGTGGAGGATCTCTGCTCTGAATGAGGCCGGAGGATGGAAAGACCGAACGACCGTTGAGGACATGGATTTGGCTGTGCGGGCTAGTCTCAAAGGATGGAAATTCGTCTATGTCAGTGACCTCAAGGTGCCATTTCGCCTGTAATTAAGCATCCATTGGGGAGATCATCTAGAAAAGTTTTAGCGGACAAGTAAAAAGGGACAGTCAGTACAATTAGTATAACTGAACGTAACAAAAGTTCTCAGTATAGATTTACCAAAATGGAGCTAGAAGAGTAAGGTTTCTCATTTGGGGAAGTGAAAAGTAGTGGAGGAGTGACTAGCCATGAATGGGATTTATCAATGCAACCCAATTTGCCAAGAAAGCCACATTGAAATTGGAGAAGTTCCTGTATATTGGCACAAGAAAAGCAGGGGAGAGCAATGATTTCAAATTGTCCATCTGGTGGTTGTCACTGCACTCTATGCTGGGCCACAATGAGTGACCTGGTCACTCACTGCTCGAACAAGCAAACCATATGCATCTGGGGAGTGTTTTCCAAGCATATTTTATTACTGTCACAACATAAACCGTGTGCATCTATTACACTCTCTTTTGCTGTCCTTTTTTGGACCACACTGTTCTATCTACATCTATCATTCAATTATTCCCATATAAGGAACTTCAACCAGGTTCATTTACAGTTGATTTGGTCGCAAGTCATCCGCTAATTTTGTCTTAAGTTCACCACAAGATTGTTATCATAGTTTATTATTTGACTGCAGGTGAAGAGTGAATTGCCAAGTACGTTCAGGGCATACCGCTACCAGCAGCATCGGTGGTCTAGTGGCCCCGCCAATCTCTTCCGGAAAATGGCGGTGGAAATCCTCAGGAACAAGGTTAAATTTTACACACCCGTAATCTTTTGATCCAAGGGTATGAGTTGACTTAATAAGACTTACTGTTTTTTTTTCTTTTATGCTTTCGCAGAAAGTCTCCATGTGGAAGAAGTTCTACGCGATATACAGCTTTTTCTTCGTCCGGAAGATCGTGGCCCACATCGTCACGTTCGGGTTCTATTGCATCGTCATGCCGGCGACTGTGCTGGTTCCAGAAGTAGAAGTCCCCAAATGGGGCGCTGTCTATATCCCCTGCACTGTCACTCTCCTCAATTCAGTTGGTACTCCAAGGTCACTTCTACCCGCACAGCCCTTCATTGATTTCGCGCATCATTACTAGATCCAAGCTCAATGAAACCATCTGACAACTATGATGCTAAAGGCTGTGAAAAACATCCTGCGGTCTACTTCTCGGCCCTTTACATCAGCACATGATCGATAATTCCATCAATCAGAGAATTCGAGTTCGAGAACATGATGGGGTGTGCACAATATGTTGGCAGGTCACTCCATCTGCTGGTGTTCTGGGTCCTGTTCGAGAATGTGATGGCGCTGCACCGGACCAAGGCGACCTTCATTGGGCTGCTGGAGGCGGGTCGAGTGAACGAGTGGGTCGTCACCCAGAAACTAGGCGACGCCCTCAAGACGAAGCCGGGCAACGCTCACAGAAGGCTTCGCATTTGGATCGGACAAAGGTGACAGCTTCCACTAGCCAATATCACACCCCAAGAGCCAAAACCCGTTCATATACATCAGTACATGTTTGATTAACATCTGATTCATTATATCCATTTCATACCTTGTTCTTGGTCCTGAACAGAGTCCATGTGGTGGAGCTCTGCGTTGGAGCCTATCTCTTCATCTGTGGATGCTACGACTTGGCTCACGGCAAGAACCGCTACTTCGCCTACCTCTTCCTTCAGTCCTTCGCCTTCTTTGTTGCTGGGATTGGCTATGTGGGCACGTTCGTTCCCATCTCTTAGCCTTAGCACACAGATTAAAAATAAAATATATAAAAAAAGATACCATCATCATCATCATCATCATAATAATTATTATTATTCATTTGGAGGGGCTTTTGCTCTCAGAATTGTTGTATTCTGATGTGATTAATACGAGGAACACTTCGATTCCATTCTCTGTGTAGAGCACAAGGATGCTGCTATTGTGCTCTGTTATTGTACCGTTACTTCTGCAGAAATCATGTACGAGTCTAGTCAAACGCTTTTGGCTCAAGTCATCTGTTGCCGTCGATTCATTCAAACCACTTGAGTTCATGTTTTCGTCACATTTGATCGGTTTCTGTCGAATTGCCTGTGCCGCAAGTATTGGTGTGCAATTCTAATGTGATTAGCCGATCTCGTATTAACAACACAAAAGTACGTATTTATAGAAAAGCAAGCTAATTCAAAAGCATAGAATTAATGAGCAAAACAAAAAATGTAGAGGATTTATATGGTGTCACCGAAATTAATTTTCCTAATCATGATCAATTGATTAATCTCAGAAACTAAGATGCATTTTTCAACGTGGAAAAAGTTACTATATTATTGGGGATTACATAAATCCAGAGTTTTCTGAATAGATTCACTTTTTAATGTCATAATCTTGACTTAATTGATTGCCCGAGAGTTATGGTACGGGAAATTTAAATCAAGCGAGTTGCCATCTCTTCGAGCAACGCTTAGTCGAATTGACCTCGTGAATTAGGCTTAATAGATTGTCAAGTCAGAATGCGAATAGGTCGCGTTGCATATTAAAATCGCCGATCAACTCAAGTCGGTCCAACTTGAAAATCAAATCTTACTTGATGCGACACTAAGCCAAGCTAATACGTAGCATGCCTCATTTAAATTCCGGTTAATCATCAAATTAAATATTTTTTTAGACCAAAAAAAAATTTAAATATTTTAACTCCTAATTTTTTATAATCAAAAGTCACAAAAATCAATCCCAATTTCTCAAACCGACTAGCGAACATTCCGAGCATCGAAACGCAGATTTGGCTCTTGCGTTTTTGGCAGAGAGAACGCGCGGCTCTCCGGCGCTTACTTCTCCGGTTTCGCCGCCGCTTCCGCTTCGACGTGCAGTTTCGCGGAGGGTCCAGGTATTCGATTCGATCACTCTGGCTTCCGCTTCCTCTTCCTCGTCCCCCTGTTCTGATTTTCTGGCGAGATTGAGCTCGGGGACAGTTTCGCATTGAATGCGATTGGGGCTTGAATTGATGGAAGCTCGATAAGGGGCGACGCGTGGTGCTCTAGGGTTCGTGTGGTTTTGATTGCGTTTCCTCAATCTTTTGCCCTTTTTGCTGCTGATCCTTGTGAATTTGGAAATTTCAAATGGAGCGATGTGCTTTTCGTGTGTGTCCGTTTCGATTGTTTTTCAGTATTTGGAATGCTTGATCTTCAGTGCAGCGGATGAACGGAAAAAAGAACGGTGTATGATGTCTGACAAGCGCGATTTTTTCATGATTTTTTAGACGAATTTAGTGCCGCGGGAGGAGTGAAGTGGGAACGATTCTTTCCGGAGTCAAATTCATTCCTCGTGACCAGATTGATGAGGTCTTGCCTCTCTATCCTTTCGTTTTTCTTATTCTTAAATTTTGAGTTTCGGTGTTTTGTGTCGAGAAGGAGACTGATTGCTTGCCGTTGTCCTCTGTTTTTATCGGCATTTTCGTACCAGAGACAGGGTGAAAGCTCGGATTCTGCAGCAGAGGGCCGGAGGAGATCCGGCGGTAGGAAGGAAAAATACAGTAGAAAGAAGAAAGGTTCTAGATACGAGAGTTCAGATGATGAGGAGCTCCAGCAAATAAGGAAGGCGCCTAGGAGGAAGAAGTGGTACTCCTCTGAGGAGTATTCGTCTTCTGGTTCAAGTGGAAGCGGCGATGACGACTCCCCGCGAGACGAAAGAAGGCGTCGTCATGACCGTAAAAAGAAGAAGAAGAAGATTGATGCTAAAGAATCGGATGGTGGGTCTAAGAGCAGGAAGAGGAAAAGCAAAAGTGGTAGGAAGACTTATGAGGATTTTTCTTCTTCTTCAGGTTCTGAAAAATCCGATAGCTTTGACGGTGATGCTAGGAAAGAGAAACATCGGAAAGGTAGTAAGAAAGATGGACAGAAAAAGGGGAAGGAAGGAGCTGAGCAGAACGCAGTCGAGGGTGATTTTGATGACCAGAAAATTGTGAGGAGAGAAATGGGGTTAGAATGGATGCTGAGGCCTGAACAGAAGACTGAGAGAAGCCCACCAATAACTGTTGATATAGAGCCGTTGGAAACTGCGAATGAAGAGGTACCTAAAACACATTATATCCTCTTCTACATCTTTTAAGAAAAGATCATTCTAAACTTTCTATTGAGATGCCGAATAGATCCACTTGGCTGTCTAAATTAAGAGATAGGGTGGGGTTGCCTCATGTGTAGAATTTAGCTAACTGCATTTTTTACCATAACATTGCAGCGTTTGAAGTCACTGTTTTCTTCAAAGTGACCATAATCCATATTTGGCATCTCTTAAACACTGCCCTTAACATGTAATGCTCGGTTTACATGTGAAACATTGGATGTGATGGGCACCACATCCAACAGATAACTGGAGTCTAGAGCACAATACCTCGAAAATTGATAGAATAACAATTTGACGGGGTAAAAAGAATTGAATTCTTGCTTGTGCTCTGTTACCATGAACCTGTGCTTCGATACCTTTTGATTTTTACCGTTTTCCAAATTTATGCTAGGAAATGGGCCACAGTGTCTATCCAGCCTAACTATTTACAATTTCTGCCCTTTGTAATTCTATGGCTTTTGGTTTGTCTTGATGAGGGTGGAAAATGACTTGATCATGAGAAGTTCTTTGTAAGTGAGAATCATCAATTGGCTGGGTATAAGAATTTCAGTTTAATTTTGGAATGAGCTTCGGTTCATTCTACGAGCAAAATATGTATACTTGAAACTATATTGAACATTCACTAGTGGGGGATGGTCCAGCATGTTGCGTTGCCTTCCTATTATTTTGCTGTCCTCTATCATTTTGGAAGATGGTTTTTTGTTCTGATATTTGGGTGTTTTATAGATTGCAATTATGCAATCGCTCTATTTATTTTTGAGTTGGTCGTTCATTTAGATTCAATTCATTTTGGTATGAGTTTGTTGGTGTGCCCAGAATGCTTCTCTGGGCTGCTGTGGTTTCAAGATGGAGACTAATTATCACCTATGGTTGTTGTCTTTGGACTACTGATGTCGTAAGACTCACTTGCTTTTGGAAATCTGTCTGTTGCTTGTTTTTTGCCCAGAAAGTTCTTCTCTCCCTGACGTGATGAACATCGATATAAATTACAGACTTCATTTGCTGATCTACAGGTTGTTGAACAAAAACCTTTGAGAAGGAATTGTTTCCATCACTGCAGATAACCAGAAGTGGGAGTTGTCATTCGCTTTAGAATGTTGATTACGTAGAATGTGTAGCGCCATTTGGTTGTGGGGAGATGAGTGGCTAGTGTCAAGCACACTTATAGGGAGGTCAGCAAATGCAAATTAACAGATGGTATTCCCTACTGGGTAATGTTGAGCGCCCATTTGGAAAAACGAAAGCACTGTCCAGGGTTAGAACTTCACTCGGCAATCTACGTGAGAAAGAATTCTTGGATATTGAACAAGATGCAGGTAAGACGCAAATTGATTTACTTTGATGGTTTCCTTCCAGAAGTGATGCAGAATTTGTGTCTGCTTGGTCGTATTAATCCAAAAAGTCACTGGAGTTATGGAAGTTAAATGGGGCAGTTGCTGTTCAATTGAAAATGGAGCTTCAAATGTTGGGAGAACACCTTTCTTGTTACAGTATATACTTGGGACATTTGGAAGGAAAAGATGCAGTGGAGCTTTTGAGGATGTTGAAGGCCCCTCTTAATGTCTTTAAATTATGGGGGGATTGTCCAGCGGTGTCGAAGCTTCATCTCCGATGTACAGCCTTCCTACCATGTTGGAGAAATCGTTGTTGGAACATCATACTCCTATGTCGCATGCAGTCATGTTGAAGAATATGTTGCTGTTTAGGTACGGAAAAAGAAAATGTTTTGGTGGCTTGAACATCCGGGCCATTATTTGTGGATTTCTAGTCATAACGATCCGAATAGATACCTATATATATATATATATTAAGAAGAAATGTCCGAGTAGAAAGTAGTCTTTTGCAATGAATTTATTAAGAAGATCCGAGTCTTCCTCTAGTTCTTTATCACAAATGTCCTCAGATCAAGGACCAGTAAATAGAGAAGAAATTAGTATAGAAGATTTTAATAAATCCATTGAGAACTGGATAATTCCAAAGATCAAACTTAATCAAATTTATGAGCATTCGAAGTTTAAAATTTTTGGACTCAATGATTATATCATTGTTACCGAAGAAAGAGATGTACAACTTTCTAATTCTTTTGATTCAATACAACTTTTGAATAAAGATTCTATAAAGAAACATTTCCAAAAATGGAATTATATGCATATAGGATTAGTACAAGTTGGTGCTAAACCACTTACTAAAGAAGGTTTAGATACTTCTTTACTCCTTGTTTTGAGAGATGCGAGACTTTTAAAATATGATGAATCCATTCTTGGAGCTGTTGAAACAAGTCTTTGCAGCGGACCAATTCACTTTGATAGTCATCCTGGTCTTACCGTTTCTTTTAAAGACAAAAATATTTTAAAATCTCTGACTCTTTAAATAAAAACTCATAATTACTCTATTGCTAAAGGTTCTATCCCCATAGCCCTTATTTACAGAGTTTATTACAAAGTAATGAATTCTGCTTTTGGTAGTAAAGCTTTTAAACTAAATTCCAATAGAGAAACTCTTCTTTTACAAACAGATATTTCTAAAACAAATATTACCATTCCCATGACCATTCCTTGGAATCAAATAACCCTTCCTGATCAGTGGGAATTAGAAAACCGAATTCCCCAACAAATCATTCAAAATTCTGATCCTACTAATATTATTCAACATCCTGAAGGAAAAGTAACTATACAATTTTTCAGAAGATCTGTTGATATTCCTAGAAGGTCTTGTGACATCAAATCAATTCCTTCTTGGCATTCCATTTCTTCTCGAAGATCTATAGACACTGTTCCTAACATTCCTTTGAATAATCCTGAGGAAGCATCTGCAAGTGCTCCTTCTCTTCCAAATATCAGTGGTATAGATAACAGGTTCGGAATCTCCAGGCCAGTTTATCAACATACCCCTGACTTCCCTGATCCAACTTCTTCTGAAATGGAAGATCCTGAAATCAATGTTTTAGAATTAGTTTTTGAACAAGAAAAAATAATTTTAAATCAAAAATTTAATTCTTCTGAAAACAAACAGATCAGAGAATGGCTCTTTGAGAATTTTCAAACACAAGCACTCGAAATCAAAAAAGAGTATTATGATTACATGTACCAACATGAAATCCAAATATTCTTCTTTGATTGGTTTGAAAACAAATTTTTAGAAGAAAAACAGATTTTTGTTCTAGACCAATTTTATAAATGGAAATTAGACAATGATCAAGTCATTGAGTCTAATCATCCTCCTCTTAGAAAAATAAAATTTGAACACCGAGAAACTAAAATAATAGCTTCTCCTTTTAAAACAGCTTCTAAAATAGATGGCATAGGAATCAAGAAAATTGTTGAACAAAACAACTTTTCAAACCAACATCTTCATACTAGATCGATTAGAAAATTTTACCCAAAATAGCTTTTCATCATCTTCTATATTAACCCCTAAAAGGGATTTAAAACCACCATTCTTTAAAAATTTTGAACTTCCAAAAAATCCCAGCCTTGAATTTGCTAAAGCTTTAGAAGACAGAAGAAAACTCCTCAAAGGAAAAGCAGTTTTAATTCCTAAAAATCCTTTGATTTTAGATACTCCTTTAATTCAAAACCTGAGTGTCAAAGATACTCCTGATCGTATTGAACCTTCCAATCAAATTAATCTTTTAGATAAATCTGATACCGAATCAATTCCTGAAATCAATCGTATTACTTGGAAAGATCCTCAAAAATTATATTATTCTCATGCTACTCCTCCTGATATTCTCACAGAAGAAACTTTTTCTAAAACCCAAAATAAATATTCTTCTGGTGCAATTTATGAATGGAATATAGATGGTGTTTCTGAACAAAACCTCATAAATGTTCTGACTCAAATGATTATGCTTGCTAATACTTATAAAACCATTCCAGACACTTCTGATCATTCTGTTGCCTATCTTTTAATAGCCGGATTTACTGGCCAGCTCAAAGGATGGTGGGATAACTACCTGAATGATGAGCAAAGATCCCAAATTTTAAATGCTTATAAACTTGACCCTTTTGGCCAAAATATAATAGATGAAAATGACCAGCCCATTCAAAATGCTGTTAATACTTTAATATTCTTTATATCTCAACATTTTCTAGGAGATTCTTCTCATATTCTTGATAAAAACCAAGATCTTTTATCCAATATGAAATGTAGATCTTTAGGAGAATTTAGGGAATATAAAGAAATATTTTTACAAAGAGTTTTCCAAAGAACATATTGTAATCAACCATTTTGGAAAGAAAAATTTCTTGCTGGTTTACCAAAACTCATAGGAGAACAAGTTCGTAATAAGATAAGAGAAGAATATGGAAACCAAATTCCATATGACCATCTTTCTTACGGTGAATTAACCTCTTATGTTTATAAAATAGGAACACAAATGTGTACCAATATACGTCTTCAAAAACAGATCAAAAAGGAACAAAAACTTTCTAAAAAAGGATTAAGAGATTTTTGTGCCCAATATGATTCATCTTTTGAATCTTTTGCAAAATTCAAATGTTCAGGGAAATGTTCTCCCAATCAAAAAGACCACAAAAGATCCTATAAGAAACCTTATAAAAAGAAATTTGATAGAAAGTTTTCCAAGAAAAAGGAAAATGATAGTTTTGATAAAACCAAAAAACCCAAAAAGAGTTTTAAAAACATTACTTGCTATAATTGTGGCAAGAAAGGCCATACTTCTAAATTTTGTAAACTTAGCAAAAAGGTAAACGAGTTAGGTTTGGACGAAGAAACTATTAATCAACTCAACCAAATAATGGCTGAGACTGACAGTAGTTCTTCTGATGAATCTAGTTTTGAAAAGGGTCTTCAAATTTGTGATTTAGAAACCTCTTCATCATCGACTTCAGAAAGTGAAGATGAAGAAGCCACCAATTTTGAAATAAATGTCTTAACAAAAAAAGAAGAAATTCTTTTGCAAACGATTGATCAAATCACTGATCCAGAAACAAAAATAAAATATTTAAATAATTTCCAAAGTTCTAAGCCAGTTTTCCATTCTGATAATCCTTATAATATTTCTACCATACTGTTGACACCTAATTTTGCCCAACTCGTTAAACTAATGCTTAAATGGTAAATGGGCCAAATTAGTGCAAAAGAGAGATAAAACTAAAAATATATGTATAATAAAATATATATCGGACCAATTTAGCGAGGCCCATCAACCTTAGCCCCTTTCCTCTAGTTTTCGCTTGGGCATAACCGTTTTGTTCATTTCTGGGCTTTTCCTCCCTTTCTTTTCCCTTTTATTCAGCCCACGCCCACCTACGGATCACCCCTTCCTTTTTATTTTCGGCCCACCTTCCCTTCCTCTTTATTTTTGGCCCGGTCCTCTTCATTGCTGTTTGTCTTCCTCACGCTTGTGAAAAAAGACGAAAAGGGGGGGACGGGGGGGGGGGGGGGGACCACAGGGAAGCGCAGGTACAAGAGCAGAGGAGCGATGCTCTGGCAGGGGGAACGGAACGTCGACGCGCAGTGCAGAAGCCGCGCGACGCCGGGGGAGTAGAGGTCAGAGGTGTAGCCGTGGTCCTCGGGCTATCCTCTCCTTTCTCGGCATTAAAAGGGGGGCAACAGAAATCATGAAAAAGAGAAGAAGAAACAGAGCGGGAGAGGTGAAGCCAAGAGAGAACGAAGAGAGAAAATGGAGGATTGAGGGGTTGGAGGAGAGTGTTCCGGCCCCCTTGATCGGCAAGGAGGTGGCCGGGCGAATCTCTTCCCCCTCTCCACCGTGCGCTTAAGCCCGGAGATACCGACTGAGGGAGCTTGAACAAGAAATACAAAGCTTTGGGGGGACTGGAAAAGGGGGAACAAAGGGCAGATACGAAAGGAGAAAACTTGGTTCGTGCCACGGTCGTCCACCCTAGTCGTTGACGGTCCCTTTGAGCCTCCGGTCACCGCTCTTCAGCTCGGTTATTCACGAAACAGGTAACTCGCCGTTGCATATTTTGCTCTGTTTTAGCGCCCCCCCTCCCCTGCCTCTCGGGTGCCGGGCACACTGAGTCCATTCGGTGGTCGCCCGGCCCCGTGAGGGATGCTTGTGTTCGTTTGACACTCAAGGAAGTTTTTTTAAACATTTCACACCGAGGGTAGGCCCCGAGCTTTGCTAAACTCAAGCTCGTTTCTGCATTTTTCAAACGCTCCTCACATATTCAATGAAATGTCCCAACGAAACAGCATAAACTTGGAGCCTCGAATCCGACCATGTCGACTTTTGACACCTTTTTTCGCAAACTGAAACACGTCTGTAGCAGGATACGCCTTCTAGACCTTCAAACATCACCCGTAAACCGAACACCGCCTTGAAACCTCGACCTAAATCCCGTATCCAGACCCTCGCGCACCCCCTGTTTGACAAAAGGCCCGAGTGAGAGTCGAGATTATCACCATCAAAACTTGTTCCTGTTATCTTCGTTTCACCATTTGGTTGTGCTCAGATCTGTATCTCATGACTAACTTG